GCCTGGTCTACATAGTGAGTTCCAGGTCAGTTGAGGCTACAGGGACATCCTGTCCCCAAAAGACCGAAAAATAATAAATAAATAAATAAATAAAGTCAGTATTTTTTACATATTTTTATTTTATGTGTATGAGTATTTTGTCTGCATGTAAGTGCACCCATGAGTGCAATGCCCATGGAGACTAGAAGAGGGCATCATACCCTGGAACTGGAATTACAGATGGTTGTTAGCTACCAAGTAGGTGTTGGGAACCAAACTTAGGTCAGCTAGTGCTTAACCACTGAGTTATCTCTCCAGCTTCAAGACTAATGTCTTTTGTATAATTTTTGAAAGAGAGTGCCCCTCAGGCCCCCTCCCTATCCTCTGAGGAAAAAAAAAACCCTGAAAACTACCCTCCACCTGACTCTGGAAATCCCCTTCATTGGTATCTGCTTATGATTTCTATGGAAATGGTCTGGGGCAGAAGAGATAGAACGTTCTGCCCCAGGTAAGACAGCAAATGTCTGTATAGGTAAAGTCTCTGGAAATCAGCCCTAGGTTGTTCCAATCCTTCCTTGGTAATTCTGTGTGTAGTTTCTATGGATATCCCCTGCTTTGTGGTTTTTGTGGTTTTTCTGCTTCAAAGCCCTGTGTTTTTACTGTTCAGGGTCGCAGCACAGCTGTGAGACTGTCTGTGTCCCCAGCCGATTGGTTCCAATAAAGCGCTCCTTTTTACTGAGACTCAGTGTCCGAGTGGTCAATTTAAGGAATTTTACGAACCCCTAACAATTTTGATAAGAAGAGTTAACCCAAATCTTTTGACTATTTCTAGCTAGAATTAATGGAGTTAAAGTTATTTCATTTGTTGAACAACTGAGCATGTTATAGAGTCTTTTACAGTGTTTAATTTCTTGTATTTTCATAGTCTAAATTTAATTTTTAATATTTTTTTAACAGGGAAAAGTTTTTGTAAGAATTTGGATTTAAAGTGGTGTTTCTTTTGAAAGGTTTAAATAAATTTTTGCCTATTTAAAAACTTTATTTCTTATTCTGGGCGTGGTGGTGCACGCCTTTAATCCCAGCACTTGGGAGGCAGAGGCAGGCGGATCTCTGTGAGTTCAAGGCCAGCCTGGTCTACATCTTGAGTTCCAAGACAGCTGGGGCTACAGGGAGACCCTGTCTCAAAAATACCAAAAACAAAAACAAAAACAAACTTTATTTCTTTTATCCAAATTATACTAAATAATGAGGAAAAACAATTATAAAATTTTTTTTGATCTTTTTGAGACAGGGTCTCCCTGTAGCCCCAGCTGGCCTGGAACTCACTATGTAGACTAGGCTGACCTTGAACTCACAGAGATCTGCCTGCCTCTGGGTCCCAAATGCTGGGACTAAAGGTATTTGCTACCATGCCTGGCCATTAACAATCTTTTTAAAACAGTTTTTGAGGTAGGGTCTCACCATGTCCTCCTGGCTTGCCTGGAATTCACAGTATAGATGAGGTTAGTCTCAGACTCACAGAGATCTGCCTGCCTCTGCCTCCTGAGTTCTAGGACTAAAGGACAATTTTTAAAAATTATTATTTTAATTTTATGTGTACGAGTGTATTGCCTACATGTATGCGAATATACCCATGTCGAGCAGTGCCCAAAGAGGTCAGAAGAGGGTGCCAGGTTCCCTTGGAACGCCCCTAGAACTGGAGTTATGGATGGTTGTTAGCCACTGTATGGGTGCTGGGAATTGAACCCCAGTCCTCTGAGAGAACAGTTGGTGTTCTTATCTGCTGAGCCATTTCTTCAGCCCCAGGATATTTTTTTTTTTCACAAAGACTGTGAAAACACTTGAATCTTCTAAATATGAGAACTAGATTTAAGTAAGGTAGGGATTTGGGGTAAATAAACAGTCATAACAGAAGCATGATTAATGAAAGGAAATAATATCATCCTCATTGTAACTTCATTAAAACAAAAATTAGCATTATTTTATTAATTAGGAATATCCCAAGTGAAATATTAAATATCATAAACAATTAAAAATATCAAATTATAAAAGGGTTCAAGAAATATAAAAAGTGACAGAGTTACTCTATAATGAGGGGACAATATCCCATCTAGATACCTTGTCCTGAAAAATAAAACCCCAGTAGCAGGAATGGGTTACCTTTCTTGTAGTTGTTGGTCACTGGGAACCTACCCCCAAACATTATAGTCTATTGCCATTACTCTTGCTTACCCTCCAGAATTTGATGGTAAGACCCTATTGTTGAATATAAAAGATACTGAAATAATGAAACAGAGAAATCAAGTGGATAATGACCTATAATCTTCCTCCCTACTGGCTAGCTTTCATAGTGTTGGAAAGTGCAATGTACACTAGTGGAGGAGAAAAGTAATCATCAGTCTTACCCAGCCGTGAGCCCTACTCACTACAATAAGGATTGGTCTGAGAAGATATGCCCGCTGGTGCAACAGTGGCATGAATATTATGAGTGACCAACCACCCTTGTTTGGATTTAAGGCCCACTCCACAAGATGGAACCCATACCTGTCACCATTATCAGAGCCAAGAACCTAAGACTTGATAGGTCATAGGCCCTAAGGGAGAACCTACTACGAATGAATAGACCTAGTATTAAAATGGTTTCTAATGAATTATTGATATTGCCATAATTTAGCACATGTCTCACCACTCATCAGAGAAACTTCATCTTGCAATATAAAGGAATTTACACAGACTGACAACCGGTCAACACACAGAGAACATGAGACTGACTGCACAGTGCTCAGCCCCAAATGGGATGTCCACGTCACAGCCCTTTCCCCAAGACTCAGAGGCCTTTTTGGAGAGGGAGCAGAAAGATTGTGAAGACTCAGAGGAGGTGTGGAGGATTACAAGGAAGCAGTCATTCCCAGACAGCAGGGCAGCTGCACAATGAACTCACAGCAGTTGTGACAGCGTGCATAAGACCTATTCAACCTCAAGCCAGCATCGGGGTGGGAGGTGGATATGTCTCACTCCTTGTTAAGGAGCTATTATCATTTGGTTGCTGCTGGAACACCAAGAATAAATATTCCTTTTTTTTTTTTTTTTTGGGTCTTTTTGAGACAGGGTCTCCCTGTAGCCCCAGCTGTCCTGGAACTTACTATGTAGACCAGGCTGGCCTTGAATTCACAGAGATCCACCTGCCTCTGCCTCCCGAGTGCTGGGATTAAAGGCGTGCACCACCACGCCTGGTGTAAGAATAAATATTCTTATGGGTGTTACCCTTGGTAGGTCAATTATAATCCAGGGCAGATCCCACACTCAAGGATAAGGTCTATTGGACTCAATGGGGGGAAAATGAACATGAAGTTTGTAAGTAAAGAGGTGAGGTGGATCTGGAAGGAATTGGGGGAGGGCAGAAATATGATCAAAATACATTGCATGAAGTTCCCAAAGATTAATACACATTTTTAAAAAGAAACATAAAAAGTGAGAGAAATGCCCAGTTACTTTGGGAACTTGATTGTTAATGCAGTTGAAGATGAGCATCATCCAACGTTTTTTGAAGTCCCCATGGATGTGCTCTCAGATGAAGTTGGCATATGTTTGATGTGAGAAATGGGAATCTGAAAGTTTATGTCCTTGAGTTTTGCAACACAAGAGTAGGTTAGAAGTATCTGGATCCAGTCTTTTCTTCAGTTAAAATGGAGTCTTAAAGGTAATAATGTCCTTTTTTCTTTCAGTTAATGAAATCATTTGGTTTTCTTTATCCTTCAAGGAACACTCTATAATTTTGAACCTTTAGTTATCATAGTAAAAAGTCTTTTATAATAGTGTATGTTTTCTTTAATAGAAAGGGCTCATATAGATTTTATTTAGAATTTTTAATAGGATGCCAAGTACTTATTTTATCAGGAGATAATGGATATTTTCCAAAAGGGGTAAATCTTAGAAGAAGAAAGTCTTCTAAGCCTTAAAGCTTAGTTAATTTTGACCATTTATTCGGATTACTTGTTTATCTAATAGGTTAAATTTTATAAGCAGATTTAAATGTCCATTAAAATGAGTTTTACAATCACTATGTAACTTAGTAGGAATGACCCAGGTAGGAATAATTCTCTAAAGAGAAATTTTCCAGCTGGGTGTGGTGATGCACACCTTTAATCCCAGTACTAGGGAGACAGAGTCAGGTGGATCACTGTGAGTTCGAAGCCAGCCTAGTCTACCTAGTGAGTTCTAGGCCAGCCAAAGCTGTGTAGTGAGACCCTGCAGAGAGAGAGAGAGAGAGAGAGAGAGAGAGAGAGAGAGAGAATTTCCTAAGCAGAGGGTTTATTCAATGGGGAGAAATACAAAACTTAAAAATAAAATCTAATCCAGATTGCAAAGGGCCCATTTAGTAAAAGGACAACACAAAGTCCTTGTTTTTCTAAGCCAGTTTTGGGGTAAACATTACTAAGACTAGAGCAACCCTTAAGAAAACCTTACTGTTGAAAACAGAGACTCAAGAATTTATCTCAGGGAATTAAATTTTGACCTTAAAAATTCTACTAACCTTTATATTATAATCAACTTAATTATAACCATATCTATTTTCTTTAATTTACATTATTTTCATTTTGGAACAATCTTTACCTTACCATACAAAATCCTTTCTCCCCCAAAATACGTTTTCCCCTTCAACTTTCTTCTACCAAATATACACCTTATACAAGAACCTTTATATTGCCTTTGAAAACACTTGATCATTTTGTTTTTATGATAAAATGTAGGAATATTTTTAGTGAGATAATTTTAATGAGGCTATATCTAAAACATAGAAAAATATATAGGGTATCCTAAATATCTAACAGTTATAAATACAGTTAAACACCATGTCTTGTTTACCTTTGTAGTGAAGTGTGTTAATAAGTTAACAAGTATTTTACCTAAATTATTTTATCTTTTATACTAAAGGCACAAAGATGAATAATTGTCCCAAATATTACATTACAATGCAATGTAACACATTGAGATCATCCTTTAGATGTCTTTGTGAGTCTTGAAGCAGGTTTTTTAAATGACCATTTTTTAAAATGTTTAGAATTGTATCTTACATAGACTTGGCTAAGATATAGACCTTGAAAAACTTGTTTGTTTTGAACAGGGTATAGTGACCAAAAATATCCTTCAAACCCTTAAAATGCTTATATTTATGCACACACATAAACAAAATATATTTAAATACACAGAGATAAGTCATCCTTGATCCTTGGAATAGAAGAGTTTAGCATCTCAGAGAAGGGCAATTATCTGATAGTAAAAACTGCACCCTGGAGCAGGAATAATCATCTCTTAAAATTAATTTGTACCCACAAGCAATAGGGACTATATTGTAGAACCAGAATTAAGACAAAGATCAAGGAGATAACATCTTGGCCAGAATCATATAATTATGTAGATCATGTGTTTTAAAAAAGATTTTTAAAAATTTAAATAAAGAAATCATGTTAATTCTCCCAAAGAAAGATCCAGGACCATTAGCCACCTCTACTTGTTTCACAAAAGTGGTCACATTGATTAAACAGCCTCTCTTTGTACTGTGCTGTTATCCTGTCCTCCTAGTTGGCATACTGAACTTGTGGCCAAGCTTACTTAGGCTGCTGGGGCAGTTAGAGCACCCAAGTTTATAAGGCAGTATGTATTTATTGGGCCTTTTAATACATCACCTAAATACATTTATAAATATACACATGTGCATAATAAAATAATAATTTTTGCACACAACAAAAATGAATAGAAAAAAACCCCAAAGTGGCCACAGTTTGTTACATTTTCTTTGGACACAGCACATGAAAGCAATTATCATAGACATACACGATATAATTACATAAAATCTAGGTGCATCCAATTAAAAAAAGGTAGAAAATTTATATATCTGTCTCTTTACCATTTGAGAAAGGCTTCGTAGCATCAAAGCTCAGAAGGCAAAACTTCTCTTGTAGATATAAGACAACATCTCTTCCTCCTCGGAAAAGTAAGTAGCTGAGGGGGTGATGCTTTTACTGATGAAAATGATTTTTCTCAATGTTACTTGAGGCCAAAGTTTGTTTTATTTGTTTTGAGGCTTCCTTATGTTTCCCATGCTTACTTCTGTATCTACAAGAAAAAAGGAAAGAAAGAAAAAAAGTATAGATTCTAGTATCAGGCATCATCTACCAGCCCAATGCCAATCTGGGACATAGTTCCCTTCCTAGATTTGGCAATGTCTCTTATCTGGATTAGACAACACAGACCTGTTCCATATATATGTTATACACTCCATAAATAAGTAAATTTACTCAGCATTTCATAATTGTCAATGCTAAGGTGGTTACTTTCCCCCTCTAGGTATCTATAGAGGTTATCGGATCAGAAATGCTTCTGTCCAATCTAAAGTTTTAAAGACATAGATACACATAATTGCTGTTTTTAAAAAAAACCTCCCATAAGGCAAGAACATTTAGAGTTTAAATTTATCTGTTTAGACCTTGAAAGTTACATCACCGGGAGGAAGCTGGCAGGATTCCCCTTGTCTAAGCTATTAGCTTTGCAGAAAGCAGAGGAGACAGGACAGCAAAGAGGCAGAGAGTGATTTAAAGATTTTAGGATAAGAGGATACACAGAGGCAGTTTTTTAAAGAATATTTTATTTATTATTTTTATTTTATGTGTACGAGTGTATTGCCTGCATGTATGTGAGCGCACCCATGTCGTGCAATGCCACAGAGGTCAGAAGAGGGCTTTGGATTCCCCCGGAACTAGAGTTAAGGATGGTTCATAGCCGCCATGTGGGTGCTGGGAATCGAACCTGGGTCCTCTGCAAGAGCAGTCAGTGCTGTTAACCGCTGAGCCATCTCTCCAGCCCCAGGGGCAGTTATTTCTAATGTGCTGCTCTGTGGAATCAATTCTCCACTGTGTCTCAGCTGCTCTGTTGGAGGAAGGAGTCTGGCTGTGGACATCTGGAGGATCAGCTCTTCTGATAAGTCCTCCTGGAAAAGCCATGTACTATTTCATCTGACCTGGGAACAGAGTATGGATGAATCAAGGGGATTTTTATTTTTGGTGTCAGTGGCACTTATCAAAAACTAATTGGGTCTTTGACCAGAAAAACAGAAGCAAAGGAACCCAAGGTAATGTGCAAACCATGCTTAACAAGGTAGATCAGCTAAGCGACAGACAGGAAAACAAACTCACCAACAATGCTTCAAGATGGATCTCAGCAGAAGCCCCCAGAAGTGTTAGTAGTGAGGACTAGAGACATGGCTCTGTGTGGTCATCCTTAGCAGCCCGAGATCTTCCCTAAGCTTTAGGGACCTCGACTCAGGACAAACCAGGATTCATGACTTCAACACTGAAAGAAATTTTTGGACTTGCTAGTATGATAAAGACTTTTTAAGGTAGGCTTAAGCATGAAGATTAAAAAAAAAAAAAAAGAGGTGCTCACAAGTGTGATGTAGCTTCCCAAGGGAAAGTGGCCTTCACAAATAGGACTTTATTTATTTTTATTTTATGTGTATGAGTGTTTCACCTGTATGTAAGTGCACCCACGCAATGCAATGCCTGCAGAGGCCAGAAGAGGGTGTTGGATTCCCCTGGAACTGAAGTTACTGGTGATTGCTAGCTGTCCTGTGGGTGCTGGGACCTGAACCCAGGTTCTCTGCAAGAGCAGCCAGTGTTCTTAATCACTGAGCCACCTCTCTAGTTCTTTGTTTTTTTTTTTTTTGAGATAGGGTCTCACTATGTAGTCCTGGCTGGCCTGGAATTCCCTATGTAGACCAGGTTGGCCTTGAACTCACAGAGATCTTCCTGCCCCTGCCTCCTGAATGCAGGGATTAAAGGTATGTACCACCATACCTGACTAAAATTTTTTTAAAAAATAGTTTTTATAAGGGCTGGAGAGATGGCTCAGCGATTAAGAGCACTGCTTGCAGAGGATCCGGGTTTGATTCCTAGCACTCACATAGTGGCTACGAACCATCCTTGACTCCAGTTCCAGGGGAATCCGACGCCCTCTTCTGACCTCCATAGCACTGCACAACATGGGTGCACTCACATACATGCAGGCAATACACTCATACACATTAAAAAATAATTATATATAGATATATAAATAGTTTTTATAGTATGGAATCTCTCTTGTTTTTAGTTTCTATGATTTCTTTTGATACAGAATTTTAGTTTGTTAGGAGATAAAGAATGAAGAAGCAAGGTCAGAGAAAGAGATGAGAATAGGGTTATTCTCAGAGTTTATCTTTAGTTCTGATAGAACCTGTAAAAATTTTAAAGTTAATTTCTAATTTATTTATTTATTTATTGTTTGTTTTTGTTTTCTGTTTTTGAGACAGGGTCTACCTGTAGCCCCAGCTGGCCTGGAATTTGCTATGCAGAGCAGGCTGGCCTTGATCTCACAGACATCTGCCTGCCTCTGTCTCCCAAGTGCTGGGATTAAAGGTACACCCCCAGGCCCAGCAAGTTAATTAATTCTTTCTTTCTTTCTTTCTTTCTTTCTTTCTTTCTTTCTTTCTTTCTTTCTTTCTTTCTTTCTTTCTTTCTTTCTTTCTTTCTTTCTTTCTTTCTTTCTTTCTTTCTTTCTTTCTTTCTTTCTTTCTTTCTTTCTTTCTTTCTTTCTTTCTTTCTTTCTACCAGGCTGGCCTTGAACTCACAAAGATCCGCCTGCCTCTGCCTCCCAAGTGCTGGGATTAAAGGCATACACCACCATGCCCCATGCAAGTTAATTTCTTATTTAATTTTAATAACTCCTTTTAATTCACGTGTAGTTTTTAGAGTTCTTATTAATTTAGTAAATTAGCAATTTTATAGCTTCTTTTCTTTTTTAAGATGATTTTACATTCCAATTAAAGCAGGGTGCCCATTTATTATCTTTTGTTTTATTGCATCGGACTTCTAGTTTTGAATGCAAACATATCAGCTCTGGAACCAGTTCTCCATTGAGGGAAACACAGAACCAAGTTATCTTTGCTTAGATCTCTCCACTTTTCAGACACTTGTAAGTTGAAACATTAATCAAACCTAAAAGCAGCTGAAGTATTAAATATATGTTTGGTTTTCTACAAATATTTCTCTATTCCTTAGATCAGATATGCGAGAACTGTTTAGAGCAAAAGAAAAAGAGAAAGACAGCAAGTTCAACAAGCAAAGAGAATCCAAAATGCATTTGGAGATCTAAGAGCAAAGAAAAACAAACCCAAATGCTTTCAAAGCAAGCAAACAAAAACAAAATAGATACTTTAAACCAAATAAAAATATCTACCAAATAGGAGCCTTAAAAAAAACCAGCCTATAATAAATAAATAATATATAAGTAAGTGGGCTGTCAACCAAACCAAGCATGCCCCAGAAAGAACTTGCCAAAATCCAGCAAAGGAGAAAATGCCAGATGGTTTGGAATCAATGGGTTCATGCTGGCACCTTGCTTCCATCCAGGTGACAAGAGGGTCATTCTCAGGGACACCAGTAACTGTCGACACAAAAACACTAACTCCCACCTCAAAGGGGATAAGAGAGAGTTTATTTTGGAGCCAAATATGAGTGATCATCCCGGGAACACAGATTCAGGTTACCCAAATTCCATGTTCCAGTATGGTTGGAACCACATTGAAGAAGTAGTTTGATGAAGTTTTTATAGTAACAGAACAAAGAAAGTCATAAATCAATACAATCTTCAAGTGCATTGGTGGAAACATTAAGTAGGCAGTTATAGCAGAAGAAAAATCTCAGCTATAGGCCTCAAATGCTATCTGAAGACATTTAGCCTTTTGGTTGGTAGAAACTGGAGTTTCATTAATACATTCCAAAACATTTTTGTTTGTTAATCACAGGATGCTAGGTCAGACACAGAGGTGGGCAAGAATGGCTATTTAGGGGGCTAAAGATTGCCCAAGATATTTTGTGATTAGGCTCCAGACTTGAAATATTCCAAACTTTCTATGACCACTGAAGTTTTAATCAGTTAATTACCCTTGCAGGAGGCTCAAATTGAAGATGTAGTTTCTTTCTTTTTAAAAATTATTTATTTTTATTTTATGTGTATGAGTGTTATGCCTGCATGTATGGAAGTTGCCTGTGTCTTCCACTGCCAGAGGAGGACAGAAGAGGGTGTCGGATCTCCTGGAACTGGAGTTACGGATGGTTGTTATTTGCCATGTGGGTGCTGGGATTCAAACCCTGGTCTTCTGCAAGAGCAGCCAGTGCTCTTAACCACTGAGCCATCTCTCCAGCCCCATATATAGTTTCTTTTAGGGGATTTTTGCTCTCACCATGTAAGTGGAGGATAATTTCTGGTCCTTTTGTCGCTATGTCCCAAGTGCTGGGATTACAAGAGTATACAATCATGCCAGGCTTTTATTTTCAGTAAAAAAAAATTTTTTTTTGAGACAGAATCTCATGTAGTCCAGGCTGGCATTTTATTTATTTATTTATTATTATAATGCTGATTATTATTATTTTTACATTTAATTATGCTGTGTTTGTGTGTGATCATGTGGAGATCAGCAATGGACTCTAAGGATTCAATTTTCTTCTACCATGTGGGTCTCAGGGATCAAACTTTGGTCATCAGGCTTGAGGGTTAAGTGCTTTTTACTGGCTGAGCCTGTCACTGGCCCTGGCTTTTATCTTTTGATTGTAGTCAGTATCTATAACATGAACTTCAGCGTTTTGATCAGTCTTCAGGGCACTGTCCAGTTCTGGAGCATTAAGTACATTCATATTTTGGGGCAAGCACCACTATCCATCTCCAAAATTTATTTGCTTTAATTATTATTTTATTTATTTATTTGCTGTTTTCTGGTATGAGTCAGAGTCTCACTAGACTGGCCAGGAACTTGCCATAGTCATTCCTCAGACTCTGAGTTGCAGAGGGTGAACCATCATACCCACCTGTTGCTAATCTTTAAAACATCCCTGTAGGGCAAATGCCTGGCTTCTCATTTTGGGTATGACGAAGACAAAGTTTAAAGAACTATGTGACTCCACTAGGCTAACGACTGGCAGGCATAGGAGGGCTTTTCTAGTTCTGGTTGCTTCAAGGCCAGGGTTTCTTTTTCACATAGCCGGGGTCAAAGAGAAACTGCCTGAAATGGGGCATTCGGCTGAAGGTGGGAAAGTCTAGATCCACGTCCAGAAAATCCCAGGGGCATTCCAGAAGTTTCAGGAGGAGGCTAGGAAAAAGTGTTCGGGGAGGAGGTCTATAAGTGAGTGCTTCGCCATTAAAAAAAAACTTACGATTTCAGGGAAGGAGAGATGGCGCAGCGGTTAAGAGCTATCGCTATTCTTGCAGAGGACCCGGATTCAATTCCCAGCACTCACATGGTGGCTAACACCCGTTGGTAACTCCAGTTCTAGGGGATCCGACACCCTCTTCTGACCTCCACGGGCACTACAAAACACGGGTGCACCTACACACATGCAGGTATAATACTCATACACATAAAATAAGAATAAAGATAAAAAATTTAAAAAAATTACGATTTCATTTTATTGAAAATTTCATACATGTATAACTGTATTGACATAATCCCCCCCCCATCCCTCTTCCACTCTTTCTGACTTGTTCCCGGGATTGTAGCGGACGATATAGATGTTCCCATGAGGGCTGTGCACTCGGCATTTATTCACGGCACTTTGACAGTTGCGAATCTGCATTAACAATTACCCTCTGCAAAAAGCTGCGTCCCTGAGCCAGCCTAAGTTAGTCTAAGCTATACCCATCTGTGTGCAGACGGGAGGTAGTGCTGCTCGGAACACCGAACAGAGCGACAGACACCTCCTCCCTATGCCCTTGTTGGTTAAAGACCTTTGAGGTGCTTGGGCCTTGGGGACCCCGCGTGTTTTTCAGCTCCCCCTTCTCACAGTGGCTTCAGCATGGAGGCCAGAGGGTGTGGTCTGCAGCTCTTTCTGGGTATTAATTCCAGGAAGTTTCTTCTTTCCCGCCCACATCCAGTCAACCTCCGGAAGGGTGGGTGTGGCTTCTGTAAAGTCACCATTTCGTCTCCCCCTGTGCCAGAGCCTCACCCAGGTCTTGGGAGTCCCTCCTACCCGGGCATTTACACTTTGGTTCCCTCTGACTTCCACCCTGCAGCCCCAGCGATCTTTGTAAAGCATGCATTTGCTTGTGCAAAGCTCTCTCGGCAAAGCCGCGGCGAGCGGCTCTGCAGGGTCTTCTCCTTATGGCCGCTTCCGCCCCCGCCACACCCCCGGCCTTGTGGCCTTGTGGTCTCTCCCTTTCTCAGTCCTCCTCGCCACCCCACCGTAGGCTCAATCTTGTGACCATAGCACCCCCCCCGCCCACGCGCCTGCGTCTTAGCTTTTGCTCATTCCTGAAATGCTGCTCTCCATTAAACTGGTTCAGTAAACATTTAGGCTTCTGTTTGGATAACATTCCGGTAGAAAACTTTGGAAGGATGCACTTGGTTATGGGCTACAAGGACTGGTGTCACACACATGTTACTACTGTGTAATTTCCTTTTTGTCTGTCTCTGGATGCTGGCCTGCACGTTAAAATGGCCTGGGCAGCTTTAATTTAATTTGGTTAATTCATGTTAATTAGTTAATTAACGAATTGATTTTGCGTGTGTATTCAAGTACATGAGACTAGGTATTGGGCCTTGCCTTCCATCTTGTTTGTTGTGCACCGCTGTGTACACCAGGCTAACTGACCCAAGAACTTCTGGGGAGTCTGTCTCCACTGTCCACAGCACTGTAGAACAGCTGGAATCACAGATCTCCACTGCCCACAGCACTGTAGAAGAGCTGGAATCACAGATGCGTGCTACTGTGTCCAGCTTTATGTGGGTTCTAGGAATTTGAACTCAGATCCTCACCTTTGTGCAACAAGCACTTTACTTCCCAGCCCAGCTTCCCAGTTTGGCTTTTAACTTGCTGGGGCTGTGGATGCACTGCCAGAGATTCTGAGTTCATTAATCAGTATGAAGGCTGAGTTCTGGTAGTGTTTCTAAGGTGTGATCAGGAACAGTAAGACAAACAGGAAGGAGGGTGACACATCTGTCACCATCATCACTATGAATCCACACCTGGTACTGAAGTGTTCAGGCATTTAGTAAGGGTGCTGAATAAACAAACAAGAGGTTTCTAGAAAGGATGCAGACTACTCTTAAGGACAAAAAACAGTGTGTACCAAGTATACATGAAGTACATTCTTAAAGGAGTGATAGGACAGTCACTAATTACTCTAGTAAAAACTCACCCATCATGTTAGGTGTGGTGGCTCACTCCTGACACTCATTTCCAATACTTGAGAGGCTGAGGCAGGGGAATCACCATGAGTTTGAGGCCATTCTGGGCTATGAAGTAGAGACCCTGTCCAAACAAACTAACTGACTGACTGACTAACAAACTAACTCTCCCCACACCTTCACAAATAAGAATATTTAACCTGGAACTCACTATGTAGACCAGGCTGGCTTTCAACTCACAGAGATCCTCCTGCCTCTGCCTCCCAAGTGCTGGGATTAAATTAAGGCAGTTTTAGACAATGTTTATAGTTCGTTTTTGTTTTGAGACACACTCTCTCCTGTAGCCCAGGCTGCTCTTGAAGTCCTGCTCCTCTAGCCTCCACTTTCAGAGTGCTGGGATTATAGGAATTCATGGTACAATGCCTGGTTTTTATGCAGTGCTGGGGATTGAACCCAGAGCCTTGTGAGTGCTACGCAAGAACTCTGCCAGTCTACCAATTGAGTTATATCCCTACCCCTGTGGCTTTTTTAAACATTAAAAATTGCACACGAGTAAATAAATAAATAAATAAATATCAAATAAATAAATAAATATTAAATAAATAAATAAATAAATAAATAAATAAATAAATAAATAAATCTTTTGTAAAAAGAAAAGAAAGCCAGGCATGGTGGTTGACGCCTTTAATATCAGCACTCAGGAGGCAGAAGCAGGTGATCTCTGTGAGATTGAGGCCACCTGGGTCTACATAGGTAGTTCCAGGCCAGCTTGGGTGACAGGCAGACCCTGTCTCAAAATAAAACAACAACAAAAATCACACATTTACAGTCCAAAGTGGTGGTAAGTTTCTATAATCCAAGTTACTTGGGAGGCAGAGGAAGGGTTAAAAATTCAAGACTCAGAGCTAGAGAGATGGCTCAGCGGTTTAAGATTACTGGCTGTTCTAGTAGAAGACCCGGGTTCAAATCCCAGCACCCACATGGCAGCCAACAACTGTCTTTAACTCCAGTTCCAGGGGATCCAACGCCCTCTTCTGACCTCTGTGGACATTGCATGACACGGGTGCACTTACACGCAGGCAATACATGCATACACATAAAAATAATAAAGTGTCTTTTAAAATTCAAGACCATAAAGCTGGAGAGATGGCTCAGCAAGGAAGAGCACTGGCTGTTCTTGCAGAGGAGCCAGATTAGGTTCCCAGCACGCACAAGGTGACCATCAGTAACTCCAGTTCTAGGGGATCTGATGCCCCCTTCTGGCTTCTGAGGGCATTGCACACACATTATATACATGGAGGCAAAACACTCATACACATAAAATAAAAATAAATGAATTATTCTAAGGCCAACCTGGGCAATTTAGGCAGATGTTTTTTTCATCCAACAAGAAGCCATAACTTTATTTATGATAGAAGCACTACAAATTTCAAGCCAAGCCGTAGTTCCACTTATGGAACACCTAAAAGGATCCTTGTTTTGAGATAGTTGCATTGTTAATTCCCTAAGAGCATTTATGATATCATTACTGTTGTTTTTTCAGGGCTTGAATGGCCTTTGCTCTCGACACATTTGCTTGGGACATGACCAACTCTACGTCCTTAACATCCACACCTGTTTCATCGACCTCTTCCTCTTTTCTCTTGTACAGTTGGAGTCTGTGTGTTTTCTTGAATGTTTTAAACAGCTTCACCTTGAACTTTGAATTTCTCAGCAGCTCCTAACTGCTTGCTGAGCTGAATCTTCAGTCGTGGCTTCCCCCAAAACTATGTAGGTATCTGAAGCTGGGCTCTTGTAGCCATCTGGTTTTGTGATGACAAAGAGGATATTCTTAGATTTCCGGATAGTGACTCTAGTAACCCCTGTGACCTATCGAAGACCCAGTTTGGACATCACCTCCCTTGCCTTCTTCTCACTCCTAGACTGCTTTATTCTACTGACTGGTTCTTTGTCTCAGCTGCTGCCGCCAGCTGGGCTTCTATGGTTGTTATGTGGTACTGATTCATCACTGTCGGATTCTGTTCCAGACCCTGTCTTAGCCTGAGGCTGTGGCAACTCCTGCTCTGTAGCAGGGACAGTTTCTGGGGCCTCCCTGGGCTTTTTGTGTGGAGAACATGGAACCAAGATGTGGGTGAGAGAGAGTGAGGGGGAGCATGACCCACGCCTGTTGCAGAAGGAAGCCCGTAATTAAGACAAATTTTGTGTATGTGTGCATGATGCGTGTATTGGTACATGTGGAGGTCAGAGTACAACTTTATGGAGTTTGTTTCTCTTCCACTTTTATGTGGGTCCCAGGCTTGCACAACAAGATTTTATCTGCTGAGCTATTTTTAAAAAATTCTTTGTCCTGTACTTTTGTTTTTGTCTTAAAACAGAATGACAATAAAACAGGGTTGAGGATATAACCCAGTGGTAGAACTCTTGCCTGGCACATGTAAGGCCTTGTGCTAGTTTTTGGTACTACCAAAGAAAAATACAAATTTATACCATTGTCATCTGTGTGTTGCTAGATCCCCTGTGGAAGTCTTCTTTCCTTCCTGTGCTCACCTCAAAACCAAACTCCAAGCAGCCAGGTGTGGTGGCGCATGCCTTTAATCCGAGCATTCGGGAGGCAGAGGCAGGCAGATCTCTGTGAGTTCAAGGCTAGCCTGGTCTACATAGCAAGTTCCAGGCCAGCTTTGGCTACAGGGAGATCCTGTCTCCAAAAGACAAAAAGTAAAAAAAACAAAACAAAAAAACCCCACAAAAAACCAAACTCCACACTGTCAGAGCTCCAAAACCTACCTTCCAAAGATTTTCATGTAACTTAAATTTTACTAAAGATTTCTTGACATTTTCATTTTCATAATCATGAAGAGTAAAACATAATAAAATGTCCCTGGTCAAAATCTCTGTTCTCCTAGTACCTGTCTCAATGAGCTCCGAGTTTGATTCTCCACACTGCAAGAAATATAAATAAAAATGAAAAAGAAAGTTCTCCAAGTGTCCAGGAATTCAGCTCATTCCCTCTGCTGGCATGCTCCACAGAGTTGGCAAAATGCTGAGGTGAGCTGAGCCGGAGTTGCTGGTTGCGCCTCTAATGGGGCCAC